CTCCCTCGGGAGCCCATTCCAGACCTTGGCCACTCGAACTGTGAAGAAGTTCTTCCTAATGTCCAGTCTAAATCTGCTCTCTGCTAGCTTGTGGCCATTATTTCTTGGTCATTGTATTGGCATGGGATTTGTTACAGAAAACAGGCTCAGGGTGACCCTAGGCAATGGACCATGCCAGATGCATTGAAGGGCAAAATGATGAGCTCTACATTTTTAGAGCACCATAGTTTCCTGAACTGACATATCACAATATTCTTCCTTCTGCTTCCCCACTGTACTATACCATCTCCCCATCAAATTATCTGCGGGACCATTCAAAACCAGCATGACGTACCAAACATACAAGTATTATGTCCTCACCTGCTTTCTTCTCCCTCCAGCAATGTCTTATACATTGCAATCTCAATATCCAGGGCCAGCTTGACATTCAGCAGCTCCTGGTAATCCCGCAGCATGCTTGCCAATTCGTCCTTGGCCTTCTGCAGGGCATTCTGCAACTCCACATGTTTAGCCCGGCCATCTTGCAGGGTGAAGTCCCCATGCTGCTCAGCATCACGAATGTCTGTCTGTAGGCAGCCAACCTGTCATGGAAGAAAATGGAATATATTCCTGAAATGTGTAGGTGTCTTCACTCCACTACTGAGCGTTGTACCAGTGGATCAGCTTCCCAAGGCTCAGTGCCAAATTTGGAAGCAAATCTAGTGTCTCTGAAGCCTCATCCCTTCATTTGTGTTACTCCATTTGTGACTTTCGAAATGTGCTACACGTGGATCATAAAGTCAACCTACTTGCAGGATGAACAACCTTACTTACTGGTTTGGCACAAGTTTAACATTTCTTTTAGTGGCTTTAAAGACTAGATCCTGGCCAGTTCCCCAATATGCTACAGCACCTCTAAGGCACTTTGAGTCTGAGCCTTGCTTTGGATCCATGTTGGAGGCCATCCTAAGTCAGCCCAACCATGAATCTGCATCTTGCCATCAGCTGGGAAGCCAAAAGGAGCTGATCTGATACAAACTCATGGGCAACTGGCTATGAAAATTGGTGTGCCTGGCTACTCTAGCCCAATTAGCCACCTAGGCTGAGGTACAACTCTGACTTGCTGGCACATTCCTAGATTCTATATGCTAACTTCTGTGATCTTAAAGAGATCTTTATTTTAAAGAGAACCACCAAATGCTTCATCACGTCAGCAAAGGAATCAAGGGCAAAACTGCATCCAAAGGAAGGAAGCGCAATCTCTGAGCAAGGCCAGAGCTGGGAATGAAAAGGCTCATTACAATACTAGTGATCTTCCAACTGTTTAGAGTTCGAATTTCCTTCCCAAAATTTCAAAACTTTTCATTCTCCTACTTTAGGGGAAGGACCCCACTTTCATTTACTCTCAAGCCCCACCTTGAATTTTGTAAAATCCTATCTTTCCTATGCTGGAGAAGCTGCTTCCAATTCCACTTAGCGGCTGTCTCAAATCAGTCTTGGTTCATGATGCAGGCACCGCAGCAGCTTTTATTGGAAAACCAAGAGTCTTTGATCTCTCCTACCTGCTTCTTCACATTGTCAAGCTCACATTGCAGCTCCTGAATCAGTTGGGTCAGCTGTGCAATCTCCCTCTTGTTGCTCTCCAGATCATCACAGAATCTGCCCCTTTGCTCCTGAAGTTCCTGGAACTGGTGTCCAGAAGCAAGCCAGTAGTTAGTTCAACCCATGTCATTCATACAATGGCCTATATCAGAGCCATGCTATTTGTTACCCACCCTGGTTTGGTACAGAGTGTCCACTTCTTCTTTGCTCTTCTGAGCTATTTCTTTGTAGCAGCATTCGACATTCTTGATGATGGTCTCCATGTCCAGGTCTCGGCGGTTGTCCATTTTCACCATGACGGAGGTGTCACAGAGTTGGCAATCCATCTGAGCTCGTTCCTGCAGGTCGCATACTGGCTTAGGTCCCTCCAGATGCCCTCACCTATATTCCCAATGGTTTACTCAAGGACCAAGCCACTTACCTCACTAGCAGAACCTGTTTTAGGAGTGACCAACCATATGTACCTGGAGCCTTATTCCAGGAAGGCCACATTAGGCTAAATTAATGCTAGTCATTCCATGCACGGGTACTAGGAGAGGGAGGCCCATAGCTTAGCCTCTCCCTGGAACAGTCTAATAGCCGTTCTGCTCAGTGGGCAAGTTCTGATTTTGCAACTGAAATCCAACATAAAGGGCTTTGCTTTCCAGAAATACAGAACCCTTCTGGAAGAACTGGAGTCAGATCACTTGAATAAGTAGGATGGATCCAGTACTGCTCAGTTTGGAGATGAGGAGAGGGGTAAGATGGAACGGGACGTATTCTTACCTCTGTAAACACATGGTTCAGCAATTCCAGCTGACATTTCAACAAATCCACCTTCACCTCTTGCTCTTCCGTGTTCAAAAAGGCATAGTCCACATCCTGAAAAAGAGGTCAGATGCATTCCAACATTATTGCTATCTGAACAGAAGATGATGATGATGATGCAGGCAAACCTCCTAAAATTTCTCACCTTCTTGGCCAACACAAACCCATGTTCTGCAGTCATCCGCTTATTAATTACCTCTTCATATCTGTTGGACAAGGGAGAGACAGTCATAGGTTAGAGCTTGTTTTGTCAGTCTAGGCAAAATAATCTACACATAGATAATATTTTTCTCCTTTTACTTACAGTGAAAAAATCCGGTCATTTCACCATCACAAATTCCATGTAAATTGATACGTGATACCACTTACCAAACGGATTTGACAGTGAATCAGTTCCCCCTCCTTCATGTTAGCCAGCAGTTGCAATGAATACACGGAGAAAAAATAGCCCCATGAATCAATAACATGAAGAACTATGTTAGGAACTTTGCAGGCAAATGTGAAAGTGAATATGACTGAGGTATGCTTCCAGATACAAATTGCAGTAATAGAGGTAGAAGGTTAAAATGCATACAGAAGACATGTGAGAAAGGAAAGAGGGGGAAATGCCTTAGCAGACATAACCTCAGACATACGTCCTAAATGAAATGAAGATACATAGAGACCATAGTTTCATAGTAGCTAGGGTCAGGAGGGACCTGAACAGATCATGTAGCCTGACCCCCTGCCACAGGCAGGGATGAATGACTGG